GACCCCCCGCCTGCGGCTCTCACAGGCGGCCGAGCGATGCTCCCGGCTCTGCAGTGCTCGCTCCCCCCCAGAGACAGGACTAGGGCTGTGAGCTGGAAAAGGATTGGGAGCCACAGGGGCCGGGGCTGTTCAGTGGACAAGCAGGAAGCTCCTTACTGTGCAGCGCTCCGGGTCGCTAATTCCCGCTCCCGCCCCCACGGCGCCAGAGAAAGCCAAGGACTCCGGGGAGCCCAGAGGCACGGAGCAGCGCTGCTCCAGCCTCCTGGCAAAGCCGGGCGTCCGGAGGGCCAGGGGCAGTTCCCGGCCCTGCAAGGCCAGCAGAGGCTCCGGCAGGCCCCGCCGACCCACCTGCTCACTCCGCCGACCCACCTGCTCCTTGGAGTAGCTGGCGTGGACGTGGAAGTTCCCGAGCTCCTGGTGATCGTCGTCCTGGTTGGACAGGTCCTTGAGCGTCTCCAGCTCCTGGTGCTTGCAGAACTGGCCACGACACGCGAGGTTGCAGCACACAGCCCCCGGGCCAACAGGCTCGTTACCGCGACAGGCACGGGGGTCCCACTCACTCAGCCCACCCCTGCCCTCCCCAGCAGGGCCCGGGCTGTTACTGCTCAGCACTGGGCTCCTAATGCCAGCGGGCACAGCCTGTCTGAGCCTGGCCCCTCCGGCAACCTCCCCCCCCCCAGAGCACCAGGCTCCCCTCTCCCTGCCAGCGGGCACAGCCTGTCTGAGCCTGGCCCCTCCGGCAACCTCCCCCCCCCCAGAGCACCAGGCTCCCCTCTCCCTGCCAGCGGGCACAGCCTGTCTGAGCCTGGCCCCTCCGGCAACCTCCCCCCCCCCAGAGCACCAGGCTCCCCTCTCCCTGCCAGCGGGCACAGCCTGTCTGAGCCTGGCCCCTCCGGCAACCTCCCCCCCCCCAGAGCACCAGGCTCCCCTCTCCCTGCCAGCGGGCACAGCCTGTCTGAGCCTGGCCCCTCCGGCAACCTCCCCCCCCCCAGAGCACCAGGCTCCCCTCTCCCTGCCAGCGGGCACAGCCTGTCTGAGCCTGGCCCCTCCGGCAACCTCCCCCCCCCCAGAGCACCAGGCTCCCCTCTCCCTGCCAGCGGGCACAGCCTGTCTGAGCCTGGCCCCTCCGGCAACCTCCCCCCCCCCAGAGCACCAGGCTCCCCTCTCCCTGCCAGCGGGCACAGCCTGTCTGAGCCTGGCCCCTCCGGCAACCTCCCCCCCCCCAGAGCACCAGGCTCCCCTCTCCCTGCCAGCGGGCACAGCCTGTCTGAGCCTGGCCCCTCCGGCAACCTCCCCCCCCCCAGAGCACCAGGCTCCCCTCTCCCTGCCAGCGGGCACAGCCTGTCTGAGCCTGGCCCCTCCGGCAACCTCCCCCCCCCCAGAGCACCAGGCTCCCCTCTCCCTGCCAGCGGGCACAGCCTGTCTGAGCCTGGCCCCTCCGGCAACCTCCCCCCCCCCAGAGCACCAGGCTCCCCTCTCCCTGCCAGCGGGCACAGCCTGTCTGAGCCTGGCCCCTCCGGCAACCTCCCCCCCCCCAGAGCACCAGGCTCCCCTCTCCCTGCCAGCGGGCACAGCCTGTCTGAGCCTGGCCCCTCCGGCAACCTCCCCCCCCCCAGAGCACCAGGCTCCCCTCTCCCTGCCAGCGGGCACAGCCTGTCTGAGCCTGGCCCCTCCGGCAACCTCCCCCCCCCCAGAGCACCAGGCTCCCCTCTCCCTGCCAGCGGGCACAGCCTGTCTGAGCCTGGCCCCTCCGGCAACCTCCCCCCCCCCAGAGCACCAGGCTCCCCTCTCCCTGCCAGCGGGCACAGCCTGTCTGAGCCTGGCCCCTCCGGCAACCTCCCCCCCCCCAGAGCACCAGGCTCCCCTCTCCCTGCCAGCGGGCACAGCCTGTCTGAGCCTGGCACCTCCAGCAAACCGCCCCCCCACACAGCACCAGGCCCCCCTCTTCCCCTGCCAGCGGGCACAGCCTGTCTGAGCCCCAGCCACCGAGCCCGCCAGGAGCCCCAGCTGGGCTGGGCGGCTCTCACCTGGCGGTAGAGGCTCAGAGCCACCGGCTGCTTCTGCAGCGTCATGAAGAAGGTGCCGCGGTTCAGTTCGTTCTTGAGGTGCAGCACGACGGTGTACACTGGGGCAGAGGCAGCGCGTCAGAGGGGCGGGGGCAGACCCCAGGGCCG